TGTTCTCCTCCACTCTTTTTCTGTGGCTTTCCCCATCAATAAGCTACATTTGCAGAATTTTAGGGATGTCTTCTCTTTTCTCCCCAAGTACCACTGGATGCGCTATAGCGAAATACAAAATAAAATCTACTGATCAAGACAATTCCAAAGCTGTCAACATATTTTGTTCCCTAACTATATATCCAAATCATCTCGAAAGCATTGTAGTCTTCTCTTGGAGCTGATAAGCCATTTAATGTATTATTCTGGTGACAGACAAGCTGGGATTTGCTACAAGCATTTTTATGATTCAGTAGTTTTCAGAGAGACTAGAAAACTAAGCAGCAGATTTACACCATAACAAAATAAAAGCAGAGATCTCATCTGCCTGATGAATGACTAAAGCAGCTTTCATCTGCGGATTTTCAGCTTGTTTGCCTGAAGGTGGAGAACGTATTGTTTGGGACGCGATAACGGTACCCTCAGGCTATAATCAAATGCCATGTGCTGAAGACTGTACACATGCTGGGGGGGGGCAGAGAGACTGTTAACTCTGGGGCAGTTTCCATCTAAACAAGATGTGTAAGCGCAATAAATTTGGAAGGAAAAGGAGACTCAAGGAAAAGAGAAATGCTATATGCATGTACACGGGCTAACAAGCACGTGTGCGCCAGCAGCCGTGCCTGGCTGGCTGCTTTGCTCAGTCAGTTGGCTCTTTGGTGAGGGTGCCACAGCAGATGTGGGGTTTTTCAGAAAGAAATAAATGCAAGGACAACCGCAGCTGAAAGGCCATTACATACATAGCATTTGGCATCAACGGGCAGGCAGATATAGTATTACTGGCTGCCTTATTCCTTAGCAAACAGATATTAGATAATGCCTCCCTCTCTGCCAAGCAATGAGTCAGTTGTCGAGATGAGGGGACTGCTCTGGCCTCTTGACTTCCATTCTCCACATCTGACCAGGGATCACACCAGCTGTCTTCCAGCAAAGGCCAACTCCAGAGGCCAACTTCGCTAACAAATGCTTAAGCCCTGTTTGACAAGGGAGGGCAAGCAAGTCAGGTTTTACCCGTGCATTTGAGAAGGACACAACCCCTAATAGTGTGGGTGCCCATCTCTTGACACCAAGGGCCACATTCAGCCCACCTGCCATTGAGAGTTAACTGGGCTGTTTTGAGCTAAAATGCCATAGGCGTTGTGAGAGTGATGGAAAATTGATACCATCCCAAAATCTTTTTATTCTGTCCCTCCATCACCTCTAACCTTTCACCCCCCTCCACTAGGACTTCATCTCTACCCTATCAAAAAGCCCACAAAAGTCAGTTCCTCTCCCCACAGAGCAAACAGCCGTGAAGACACAAGACACCATCACATCTGAGCCCACAGACTACACACAACATCTTCCGAGGCCACTGGAGAAAACCCATGATTGCATTTTCTATGCACGGGCATTTTGGTGCTTTCCATGTGATTTCTAAAACCATGAGTAATGCCAGCTTCCAACAATTTGTCCTGTATTTGAACCTTGTTCACAGTCTTCCACTTGCTTAGCCGTGAACATGACTTTAACAAAGCCATTTCAACCTCTTAGTTAATTTGTTTCCGAGGCCTTTCTCTTTCAGAGGGTGTAATTAAACTAAAAGAGCCTGGAAAAGCCCCTTACAGTAAATAATTTACAAGTTCCTCCCTGGGGACATTTTTTAATTATAACTCCACTGGTCAGATCTTACTGAATACTCCGAGATAGCATTCCCTGCTGAGATCCTGAAATATAATTAACTTATTCCTTTGGTAATGGTATTTTTCCTCAGCCGATCCATTTCTTATGCAGGGCAGGCAGATTTGTTTATAAACAAAGTAGAGATTGATAGAGGCTTTGTCATGAGAATAGCAATAATGGCATTCACTGCAACAGACGGGGGCACGTCCAGTTGAGGAGAGATGATAGTGTTTTGAAGCAATTTTTATAAATCCTACCCTGACAATCCAGTACGGAGAGATACAAGAGAGCAACCAGACAGCCCCGATTCCTCTCCTTCTTGGCAGCCTGCCGTGCTCCCCCAGTGCCATTTTATGCATAGCAAACGTAAATAATTCTGACGCACCTACCAACCCCCTAACCTTTGTGCTTCGGGAACACTGCTATATACTATCAAACTGACAGTGATTTCATGTTATGTGGCAAAAAGAAAAACCCTGAGCGACAGCAGCAAGGTTGGGGATGTCAAATGAAAGCTGTCACATTTCTTTAGCTCCGTGATTCTCAAGACAATATACATAAATATCGTTTTACTGTCCCCACCAGCCAAATGTTAAGAGCTATCTGCATCAGCCTGGGTCCTGCGGCTCCCCCCGCCTGGCCGACCAGCCCGTGCCCATCTCCTCCTCACCCAGGAGAGCCTGGCAAGGAACAAAGCGCCGGCTCCTCGTGTTCCCAATGATACAGTACATTAAACACTTTCCTCATCCTTTCCTGCTGCAGCTGTAGCCAAAAGGGCAGTGTGGAGTGGAAGTGGGAGAGAATGGCTCCATGCTGCATTGCAACGTGATGGGCGAGATTCGAAGTTCGGGGACAGGCATCGCCTCAAGCCCCAAAAGCCTTCAAAGCTCGCTTGCTTTTCCTATACCAATTAGTTCCAGCAACTCCAGCGAGCCCACAAGGACAAAGCTTGGTGTCTATCTGCGGCTGTGCTGGATGGGTGCCAAACTCTTGCTTTTCACTTCCTTCCCCCCCGGCCTTTTTGAACTCCTCCACAACAAAATGTATGACCAAGTCCTCGTCTCTCTCGAAGCCCTTCGTTTCTGTACAGCGTTAGTGCTGGCCCTGAAGTCTCTTCATCATGTGCCGGCCTTTTTGTAGCCAGTTGTTCACCTGTGGTGAAATACGTTGGAGTCAGGCTAGCCCTTATTCTAGTGAATAAATCACAGCCCAGACAGCAAGATCAAAAGCTAATCCAAAAGGGCCATAAAGTTTTGTGAATAAACCCATATCTAACCGGGTAAAGAATAATAACAATAATAAAAAAAAAAACAACCTTCATATATAAAGAATGTCTCAGAAAAGCAAAGCCACAAGGCGCAGAGGTTTGGGATAAAAAATTTGCTTTCACGGTAGCCTTTTAATTTATGTGGCGCAAGGCCTGCTAATAAAACACTGCTCAAAAAAATAGTATTCAGCTTTAAAACCAAACATCATGGCTTCCCCTCAGCTTGAACGTAGCAGCAAGAGGTCATTAGCCTCTGATTATGTTCTGTTATGCTGACATGGCCTCTTAATTTTGTGCATAAAGCAGAATTGGAGCAATACTCATGCAGTCACGTTTAGTGTCACGCAAACCAAAACCATGTAGGGATGTCTCGGGATGCCAGGTAAAGCACCATGGTTAAACCTTGAGGCAGGACACCACTAAAAGCTCACACTGGTTTTTGGTGGGCTGGATTTAACGTATGCTTTTAGAACATCTATCAGACTTGGGATCCAGGTTTCCACTGTGAAAAGCACTGGCTTCAGCACAGCCTTGTTGATGTCCATGGCAGGCCGTGCCATATGGCAGAGCGCTGAGCCCAATGCCATGGGGGAGCTCCAACAGCCCTGCAGACAAACCTACACACGGGCCTGCCACACGCACAGCCTGCCCCATCTTCTTTTCTTTGTTGCTCTCCATATGTCAACAGAGGTTCCGAAATGAAGAAGGGATTCAAACACTCCCAGGAGAGGTCCGATTTTCTCATCATGTTTATTCCCCAAAGGTCTTAAATGGTACAAGTCTGTCTCCCTCCTGTGAGGCCGTCCAGCTGGTGGCACAGCAGAGCAGAGAGAAGCTGGGGCATGCTCCACCACATGCACCAGCACCGATACCGCCATCTCATCTGCTGCTTGCACAGCCCTGGGGGAGACATGGACACATCTTGCTCTGGCATCTTTCACTCGGAGCCATGAAAGAGTTTGATAAAGAACCAGCAGAAGGCTGAGTTTGATCACCATCATATCATAGAATCATAGAATGGTCAGAGTTGGAAAGAACCTTAAAGATCATCGAGTTCCAACACCCCTGCCATGGGCAGGGACACCTCCCACCAGACCAGGTTGCTCAAAGCCCCATCCAGCCTGGCCTTGAACATTTCCAGGGATAGGACAACCACAACTTCTCTGGGCAACCTCTTCCAGTGTCTCACAACCCTCACAGTAAAGAATTTCTTCTTAATATCTAATCTAAATCTCCCCTCTTTCAGTTCAAAACCATTACGCCTTGTCCTATCACTACACTCCCTGATAAAGAGTCCCTCCCCATCTCTTCTGTAGCCCCCTTCAGGTACTAGAAGGCCATTATAAGGTCTTCCCAGAGCCTTCTCATCTCCAGGCTGAACAATCCCAACTCTCTCAGCCTGTCTTCATAGGAGAGGTGCCCCAGCCCTCTGGTCATTTTCGTGCCCTCCTTTAGACCTGTTCCAACAGGTCCATGCCCTTCCTCTGTTGAGGACTCCAGAGCTGGACACAGTGCTCCAGGTGGGATCTCACAAGAGCAGCGAGGCAGAATCACCCCCCTGGACCTGCTGGCCACGCTTCTTTTGATGCAGCCCAGGATGCGGTTGGTTTTCTGGGCTGCCAGCATACAGCTAAATATCCACTAAATATTGGAAACTGCTACCAGCTGTCTCCTTCAGATTGCAGCTTTTCTGTACACACTACTGGGAAGCCCAGCACACCAGTACTGAAGGTACCTTCACCCCAGCCAGATGGACTTTTGTTAACACAAGATGGAGAAGCACCTCGGAGCACAGGTCAGAGAGACTTGAGTGGCTAAAGCTTATGTTCACCCCACAGCAAGAGGATTTAATTAGTTACTGTATTGGCAAAATTGAAATAAAACTGAATGCAAGCATTCTGAGATGAAAAGGTTCATACGTGCTGTAGGCAAGGTTTTGTTCAAAAACACAGTCATCGCTGAGAAAGTCTTTAAGCTGCTCCACAGCTGGTCCTTGAGAGTTCTTGGATTTTTTAATGATGACACCGAGTAGTTTGGTGAAAATAAATGCATTGATTTATTGATTGAGGGAGAAGTTAAACGTATAGAAAACGTGAAGTTGCATTGAAGAAGGAACACAATTTTTTGACAATTTCATTGATCCTGATTGGAAATATTGTGTCCTATTACTATGAGGACAGCATGCAGAGGAAAATTCACTATCTTCTTCCTGATACCCAGGATGGTCTGGAGAACTGGAGAAAAAACAACCTTCCCCCTTCCACCTAAAAACTTACTCAATCCATAAAACCTATTCTCTGTAATTCTTAGCATCTCTTTATCCTTTAACATAGTATCCATACTTCACAGAGTATTTGGGGATATTATAAATGGTCCATGTACAAAATTTATAGAACTTTAATTTTGAATATTATTTTCCAAAAAATAAGAGCTGTTTTTCTCCAGATGGAAAACTCACTGACCACATTTTAGACTACATTACAACCCTGTGTTCAGATAAAGGAAAGAACCATATACCAATGCTATGGACATGAATCTTTTTTTGTTAACAGATATTCCCTTTATTTTAAGTTGATTTCAAGAAGACAAGTATACAGTAAAATTTTTGTATACTCTAAAATCAATTAAGGCTTTTCCAAACACCATTTTTCTCCCAGCTTACTATAGGACTTATTGGGCATTTTTTTTGCTTTGCTCATGGACGCACATAATAATTAAGTACTAAGAACTTTTACCATAACAAGTATCCAATTCCAGAATGGATCAAGAACTGCATTAGTGAGTTCTCTGGAATAATAAAACTGTTAAGTATCAAGTAGCTCATTCCTCAAAGGTACGACGATAAGAAATGGTCCTTACTGTAATAAACAGTCACACATTCTTGTTTCTATTGATTCTAGAATAAGAATTCACACCAGATATTTGCTAATTAGAAGCAAATCAATGCAATCCTCACTACTATTACCACATTTACACTGTTTTGTTTTTTTTTTTTATTCAAACAATTCAACAAATACGGTATTTTATTGCTCCCAAAGTCATATTTGACTATTCAACAGTCATGACTGATGGATTTGATGTCTTTGGTTGGTCCCTCTGAAGGTAGGTTGGTATCAAGATACTTTCAGCAGTCTTCATAAAGGATTTCATCTACTTGGACATCATTTTCTGCCACAGGCACTGATTCACAGATCTGTTCCCTAAAAGCCAAGGCAATCGTGTAAGGCTTTCCACTGGGATGTTTCATACATCTTTCAAGATAGGTATCATAATAACCTTTCCCTCTTCCCAATCTGTTGCCTTTTTTGTCAAACCCAAGGCCTGGCATGAAGATAAGGTCAAGACCCCCTGTAGAAAAATGAAAAAAACATTAGTAGATGCCCTGTGGATTTCCTGATGGCTTGACTACATCCACATACCTTCACACATTTGCAAAAATGCAAGCTTTGTGTTTTGCGATACGCTCCCCTCTCTTTGATCAGATGAAAAATACTTTGAATACCAAACCTGTAAATTTACATTTTCATCTTATCAATTGCATACTAGATCAGCTGCAAAATAATTAGACCTTGAAAAGCTAGAAGGAAAAAACCTACCTTATAACAAATTTATTTTATCATTTTAACCCCACACTTCCAAATTCTAATGATTATGACTCTAAATCCAGGCAGAGATTGAACTCGGGGAAATTAAATGCAGGAGGAATCAGAAAATCAAATGAACTTCAACATCAGACACAAAAATAGAAAAGGAAAAAAGAATGAAAAAGAGACGCCTAAGACAGAGAGAGCATCTTCTTGACACAATTGTAAGATGTCATGAACCTTCGTTCAACATCCTAAAACCAAAGAGCTTTGAATACAATATATTATGAAAGTGGGTACTTGCCCTCTTCTATCAACATTGAGATTTGAAGGCTTGTCTCTTTGTGATGTCAGGTTCCTCTTCTCCCAAAGGACTTTCTTCCTGAGCCCCCAGCAATTTTCACTGTTGTTCCAGCAGCAGGCATTCTGCTTGCCTGCCCCGAATATCCCTCCTTCTGGAGGGATGCCTGGGCTTCCCAAGACTCTTCTGAGATTGCACTTGATTGCAACTCATAATCAGTTAAAAAACTGAAAAAACCTGTGTAAACTGCCAATTATCTGGACAAAACAGACCCAACCAGCTGATGAAACCCTGGCAGAATGGCAGAAGACTCCACCAAAACAGTTACTGACACAAAAAGGCAAGGTGAGCTGAGCCCTTTTTCTTGCTTTCTTCATACTCTGTGAACGGATGGGGAATGGCATCATGCCAGGCAGCCAGCTACAATTTAGGCTTGGCTGCCCAGTTGTTTCAGGAGTTGATCCCCATCACTGCCAGGCAGGCAAAGGACAGGGGCTGCCAGGCCAGGCATGGAGGCAGCCAGTGTGCAGATTGCCATCACTCATGCAAGGCTTGTTCGTTAAGAGTGAGAAGTCTTGCAAGGACATCCTCTAAACAAATGAGCCTGGCTATCCTAGAACTGACTTCCCAACTCAGGAACACCCCACTCCCTAGTTCCATAATGCAAGGAAAGTCTTTCATTCCTTGCTGCTGTAGCAGACAAGACACTTATGGAAAGAATGGCAAGAAGGGTAGTGGAAAGCCAGCGCAGACTAAAACACAGCTGATACGAGTCTGAAAAGAAAGCAAATACTGCGTCTCAGTCCACTGCTGCTTCCTTCTTATAGGAACGGTACCTAGACTTGAGCAGCACTTCTATAACGAGCTTCTGCTCCTTCACCAGGGCTCACTACAGCTGAGGAACGATGCCCAACACGCAAGGAGAAGAGTGGGAGCAGGTACTGGAAGAGGCAGAGCTAGGAAGAGCTTTTCAGTTTCTAGGGAACCCATCTGAGATGACGTATCAGCTCCAAACTCAGCCTGGAAGCGCATGTTAAAAATTCACGTAAGACCAAGTCATTTGCACACACTTTCCAGGCTCCTGGAGATTTCATCATTCAGAGAAGGGTCACTGATGTGAACACCCATCCATCATGACCCGATGACTAAATTAGAACATAAATATAAAATATGGAAGGCAACACAGTGTGAGACGCTTAGAGAAGATCAGTCTTGCAAACCTGGCATCATACAGTTAAGAAGCACATTTTTTTTTAAAGAGGTCAGAGGAGTAAGAGGAGGGAATTATCCAAAGGGCAGACCACAGAACGTTACTGCTTGAAACAAAAGGGAATCTGAGTGTTTTACCACACTGCAGTCAACTTTTGACTCATAAAACAGACAAATGGAAAACAACAAACAAAGAGGAATGAGGCATGAGGGCAGAAGTATGGTCCCACCTGAAAAAATAGGCCATTTTCATGGTATCATGATGTACATCATGTTGGACGGACTGTGCCACAGCTCTGTTTGCAAGTAAAAATTGCCAATTGTCTGGGCTATGGATTAGGACCTAGAAACTGGCTAATCTCCCCATTAGCATGGTCAGTAAAGGGTTCTGCAGGTCAAATCCTCCCCAAGCTACCCTTGTGCTCACTACTTATCCTCTCCATCATTTGCCTCACATCGGCTTTGCATGGGTATTGACATGGTCCATAAACCAATGTGCACCCAACGTTACTGATGCACAGAAAGAAACACACTCTGCCTTATCATTTTTTTTAGCTGTTTTCATTTTGTGAGACTCTCATGGCAAAAAGCAAGAAACATTTGCAGTTGCTACTGTTGGCAGGTAAGAATGCACACAAGGGGCAAATCTGCAGAGTAAAAAGGTGCCATTTCTCCTTATATCTGTATTACAGAGAAGAAAAAAACAAGTCAGGGGAAGCGCTAAGGAAAGAGGGAATTGGCAGGAACACTGCAGGGAAGAAAGATATTTTCTATGCAGTTTAACTGATAGCACAGGGCACACTCGAGTGAATTGAGATGTATGAGAGCACTGTGTTTTATTCTGGGTACTCTAGAGAAAGAGAGTCTGTTTTAATGAGTCAGCTCCTCTATAATCATGGATTTTTTTTTATGCTGAATAACTCAAACAAGCTTGTGCAAATCTCAATATGAGAAATGATGCTGTAAATACAGTAATAGTTACCCTTATATTTTTCTTCCACTGGAGCACTGTGATACCAAATGTCTTTGCTCTGACTCACACCACACTGTCTGATATCCATGTAGCTCACACCGCACAAGATTTAAGTAAAATGCCAAGCAAGACTTTTGGTAGAGAAATGACACAGCTACCTTGCAAGGAGCCCGAGGGCAGTTCAAGCAGCATTAGCCCCAAATCCCAGCCCGGGAGCTAGAATGAATGGCAGAGAGCTGCATGGAGAAAACACTTCCCCACTATGTAACTTGGGGAGCAACAAAACCTCTTGTGGTGCCTGTGGCAGCGCGGGGGAAGAGTTGTCACAGGATGAGAGGTGACACACAGATGGGACCAAGATTGCAGACACAGATGAGACCAAGATTGCAGACACATAAGATTACTATCAGCAGTGAGCGTACATCAACAGGATGGCAGCTGAGTGTAAGAACATTTCATCCCTCTTGGCACAAGGCCCTCATGCTCCCCAGGTTCTTCCAGCCCTACAGAACCCCTGGTTGCCAGTCGGGATGCCCTGCAGTCTTGCTCCTTTCTCACACCCTACTCCCCTTGCTCCCACAGACCGCTGTGTGAAATGGCATCCTTGTCCCCGAGAAGACAGAGCAAGTACTTGGGACATCAAACACCACATCAGTTTTTAGTGCCTCGTAAAACACACTAAGAGAGGTCTCACGTTTGCCACCTACCTCTATCCCTCTCCTTGTAATGCCCACTGTCCCCCATGTGTCCGTAGTCTTTAACTGGTGGATGTTGGATCTCCAAGGGTCCTGTGCCTACATGCCAGGAGCCCAGGAAAGCACCCTCACAGTCAAGAGGCTTTTGCTATAGACAATCGGTGCTTCTCCTGGAATATCTGTGTGGTCTGCAGATTGCTAAAGGCTCAAAACACTGTCTCAAGCAACGATGTATTGCTCCAGCTTCTACGTAGAGAATATCAATGCTTCTTACATACTTTAATTAAGCTACTGGGTATCCCAGTAAGGTTGGCAATTATGATAACAGTCACCTAATACTCGCTCTGTCTATGACACGAGCTCTTGTGGCCACACTCCTCCATCTATGCCGCACTGTGTGTGAAACAATATACCCTGACTTCTCTATCAATGTGGGCACACAGCCATGCTGACACGGCCACACAGGTTTCATTTATACTGCTAAATACAGCTGGGCCAGAAAACAAATTGATTTACAGGATCACAGGTGGTCAATACTGTTTAACTGTCAGCACAGTACCTGGCACTGCCAGTCCCAGTGACACTCACGCCTGCTCCAGGGGACAGGATTGCCACGGGTAGGAAAAACAGGAGGGTACAGGTCGGGCTCCTTCCACCCTGCGCAGTCCTCCTACACCAACAGAACTGGTTTTGCTCCTCCAGACAGATACACAGGCTTTCCTGCCACATGCCAGAATGAGCAACACAAATCCCAAGGCTGATGCCACACAAATACTGCTGTGAAGCTCTGCCATAAGGCCTCGTATTATTAAAGATACTACGAACTGGGGAAAAAATAAAGAAATCCCCAGTATTGCCTTAGGGCCACAGAGGTACCACGTGAGACCAAAAAAGAAGAGACAGGCCAAGTTCTGTGTAGTGTGGAAATGACTAGTCTGTGTCACTTAGCCCTGTGTTATTTAGCAGTGTAGGTACAGCCACAGCTTCAGAACGTGCCATGTGGGTGTACAGGCACACTCTATTGGCACTGACTCGAGAACATCTATGTAGACATACCTTATGTCACAGAGAAGTGAAATGACTTGCCCAAGGACTCAGGAAACGTGTGGCAAAACTAGATGCAAAAGGCAGGTGTGCAAGCTGCACGTCCCCTGACTTAACCAGCAGACCAAAACATTAGCATCCCCTCTCTGGTGTTTTAAATAGGAATACATGGTTTCGCTTCCTCTAGGCAGCTGCTGTGAATCTCCTCAGTTCGGCAGCGCATTTCTCATTACCCTTCATGATGATATCAGGTTTGATTTGTTCCCCAGGGAAGGATTTTCTCCTTGCACCTCATTACCTCTCTTCTCCTTAATCTGATGTTCCTATTTGAAATGCCAGCCGGCATTTTCAGAAGAGTTCTTGACAATGGTTAATTATAGAAGAGTCCATCAAACTGCACAGATACAGGTCATGTAAAGACTTGTTCTGCCCTCAGAAGGAGTATTCAGCAAGGCCCCTGTCCTCCCAGATTTGAAGAGGCTCCACCAGCCCCCTGCCACCTGCTGTGTGGGGTCACTCATCTCTCCCTGCACAGCTAGACA